ATTGCCAAGAACGGACTCAAAAATGTCAGATCCTGGGGAAGCTGGCATTGATCAATGAATCAGACTTTACTTCTGTTCTGTTCAAATACTGTACAGGCTGAAATAGCAATTTCTTAACACACACACACCAATCATCTCATGATCTTGAGAAAACAAACTAATTAACTCGTTATCTCAAGAAAACCACTGGGAAATTAACTCAGTATCTCGAGAAAACGGTCATTGGTATGTCGTGATAAGAAACCACTGGGGAAAAGTATTTGCGAAAAAACATCTGGTCTCGGCTTCCGTAGCTGTACACTCAGTCTGCCTGCCGGCCAATGACTTCATTTATTATAACAATTTTTTTTCATTATTTTAAATTTTATTTGTTTCATGTAGTCTGTATTTATTGAACCGCTGGATGTCCGGACCCTGACCTGTAGGCATTTAGTAACTGTGGCCCCCTGAGCAATGCAGTTGAATAGCCCTGTACTAGATGCTGCCCTTCATGCCAGTCGTTGGTTTTCCATCAGTATTTCTGATGCCTATTTTTTTTTTAAAATAGTTCATTGAAATAGCAAAATTTGAAAAATGTTTCAATAACTTTGAAGATGAAGTGGCTTGGACTCTTTTATGATGTATAGGGAAGAATAAAAAAGGTCTTTTTATGAATCTTTTCTGACCTACCTAACAAGCTCTTATTTACAGAAAAAAATCTGCTCTGATTGTAGAGRATAAAAACCGCTGATTGTTGGGACTAAGAAAGGATAAATATGGTGAAAAGAATTCCTGTTTCTGAGTTTACCTTGTGGCCAAGGCAGCTTTTTTTTTAAAGGTGGTTCTTTTTCCAATGAAATTTCGGCCCACTCACTGCTCAGCCTTTTTTCTTTTTTTTTTTATTTACAATCTTGCACAACATCCTATTACTCGACCTGGCGATGACATTACAGAGCTTTGTTTACCCCTAATCAAAACGTCAGTCAATTTTTATCCCATGACTTGTTTACAGTATACTGTTATGTTGTGATGATGTTGYTGTTGTCTTCCTGTCTTTTTTTTCCTTCTATCTTTCTGGATGTATATCTACCCTATTTCTTTGTGGCTTCCAGCCAAGCAAACAATCAGTTAATTAACCAGCTCAGTCCCAGGATCATTGTAGCAGCTCTCAGAGGAGCCCTGTGAAGGCCCTCGTGTCTCTAAATTTACAGCTTCATTAAGTGGACTCGAGTAAAGGAGAAATCTTTTGAAAAAAAAAAACAGGCAGATTGAAGCTTCTGTGTGTGTGTGTGTGTGTGTGTGTGTGTGTGTGTGTGTGTGTGTGTGTGTGTGTGTGTGTGT